TAAAGGTCAATTATATCCAACACTTACATTTAGTGTTCCAGTTTATAATTATTTGATAAATAAATTAGAAAAAATAACTGATAATAAAAAAACAGATCCAATTATAAAAAATACTGCAAATACTGCAAAATCAATAATTCTTGAACATTATCCATTTACTAATAGATATATATATACAATTGCTACTAGTAAGATTAATTTTAATTTTAATTTATTATTAAATAAATAATTTATATTAATTAATTTTTATTTAGTTTTAGATCCTAGATTAAAAATGAAATATTATGTGGATAATAAATAGGAAACTAAATATATTACAGCAGCTAAAGAAATTGTTATCAATATTTGAAATAAAAATTATAAAGATAAAATTTTAAATATTTTTTAACAACAAAAAAGAAGTAAAGATAATAATAATGATGATAATAATAATAATGATGATAATAATGATAATGATGATGATGATGATGATGATGATAATAATAATAATGATGATAATATTTTTTCACATGTGTATAAAAAAAGAAAAGTTAGTAGTAAAGATGAACTTGAATATTATCTTAATGAATCTATTATTGATAATCAAGATATAAATATTCTTATATAGTAGAAGATACTATATACTTTATTATATTAAAATTATATTTTATATTAAAATTATATTTATATTAAATTTTATTAAATAGGCTAATGCAATAAGATTTCCAAATTTATCTAAAATGGCTCAAGACTATTTAGCTATTCCAGGTAAATTAAAAGATTATATTAATATTTATTATAATTTAATTTTAAATTTATTTTATTTTTAGCAATAAGTGCTCCAATTGGGAGAGTATTTGCTGGTGAAACAGATTTAGTTATACCAAAAAGAAGTAATTTGAAAAGTGAAACTATAAATATGCTTATATGTATTAAAAGTTGGTAAAATTCAGATATATATAAAATATAAACAATTTATTATTAATTAAACAATATAATAAATAAATATGATATATAATTATATTATAATATACAAAAATTGTTATTTATAATTATAATTGCTTAAAAAGTAATATAATTTGCTTTAACTATAACTAGTATATTGATTTTGGAAAGTTCAACAGTAGTTAATTATAGTTAATTGTTAAGTGTATAAGAACTGTAATAATAATAATCAATTAGTAAATTGAATCTAAATTCAAATATGCAATACAAAATTATAAATCAATATGACTTTTACTAATAGAAAAATATTTATTTAGCCTTGAACATTTATTTCGTTAAATATTCTCTGTCTTACAAGTTTAAAACTAATAAACCAAGCAAGTTACTTGTTGTTTGTCCACAAATGAAGATAATCCATACTTATTTACTATTTCAGCTAACATGGTTATATTTATAGAGTAAAATTGATTTTTTATAATCCAATTTGCACAACTTCAATAAAATATTTAAAATATATATAAATATTATAATAAATTTATATACTAGTTTGATATAACAACTATTTTTTTAAATATCTTTAATCACAAAAAGCAATTACTGTATTGTTTAGATTGGCTTTGTAAGGATTGGGCTCTTATTTGTACTAATTTTTAAATATTAGACCTTTATTAGTAATTATTTCATTTTGGGCCCTTTTGTAATTATTTTTAATTTTTAGCTCTTATCTATTAATTTTCCTAAATAAAATTTAAATAGAATAAATATGCATGATTCTGAAGTATGCATATATATGAAACCTATTTCTAACTATAACTTTAGTATAAAAATACAATTATTAATAATAGTAAGATATTCATAAGCTTCAGAACTTTCAACGAATAATCATTATACTTATACTAAAACTAAATCTTCAATAAAAAAAATACATATAAGTAAGATTCAAATATTCTATAAGGTTCAGATATTTCAATTAATAACCATTATACTCATGCTAAAACTAAATCTTTGATGGAAAAAATACATATAGGATTCAAATATTCTATAAGTTTTAGACTTTACAATTAATAACTAGTATACTCATGCTAAAACTAATTCTCGATGAAAAAATATATATAAGTAAGATTTAATTATTCTATAAGTTCCAGATCTTTCAATTAATAACTATTATACTCACGCTAAAACTAATTCTTCTATAAAAAAATATATATAAGTAAGATTCAAATATTCTATAAGTTTTAGACCTTTTAATGAATAATTAACATACTCACGCCCAAACTAATTCTTCAATGAAAAAAAATATATATAAAATTTAAATATTCTATAAGTTTCAGACCTTCTAATGAATAATCAACATACTAGGGATGGCAAAAAACATGTTTTTTATTTTTTGTATTTTAAAACATGTTTTAAAACATGTTTTAAAACTTTTTTTGTGTTTTTTATTAAATAATAAAAAAATTTATACTTTATAAATACAACAATATATAAATTTTTTAAGTGTAT